CCCCCAAAAAAAAAAAAAAAGAAAAAAAGGGAAAGCTAAATTTTTTAAAAATAAAACCCAAACCCACCCAAAAACCCCCCACACATACACACAAAAAACCCAACAACAAACTAAACCAAACAAAACAAAAAAACCCAAAGAGTACCTGTAGCGGTGCCAGGAACGACACAGTTTCAGTCTCGTCTCGTGGCTGGCCGGTGACGTCATCACACCAAATATGGATTTGTTCTCTGACGCTGTGACGTGTCTGGTCGTCTGTCGGCTCCAGGAAAGAGCTGGAGCAGTTAAATCTCGTCCTTGTTGGGTCAGGAGGCAGATCTGACCCGTTAGGAAATGGAAAGTAATAGATCTAATAATAATAATGTATGGCTCTGTTCGTCTATGCAGACGGTCAATTTAGCTTAAGATGGTCTCAAGGTTGTCTTCATGCAGCTTCTTTCATAGCTAATTCTTCCTATGTTTGAAGGGCAGATTCTGTCGCAGTGCTTGCATGTCAGTGTCGTAGATCGAAGCTCAATAATAATAATAATAATAATCATTATCATTATTAACTCCCAGCAGTTTTTTCCTATCTTGGCTTTTGTATTTATGTTTCAAGGGTACCCTCAAGCCTCATGCAATAATCTATCTACTCCAGATAGACATATTGTACATCAATGGACGGGAATTGGATGGTCTTTCAAACTTAGATAATAGATTTCATTTTTTGTCATGCTGTCCTGAACTGAGTCCTTTTTTGCTTGTTACTAAAAATAGAAAAAGAAATCACACTTTTCCAATAGTGACAAAGAAGGAAAGAAAGAAGTGTTTGAGAATTTAGAGTTTACAATTATTTCATGAAAAAGTGCGTTCAGTTCTGCATATCATGTGTCAAACATACACCATTCTGTTCGAAAAAAAAAAGAGAGCCATTTCCTACAATTCCTATTTATTGCCCCTTGAATCTGGAAATTTCATATCATAGCTTTCTGCTTTCAAGCCTCCTGCAATAATGTATCTGTTCCAGATAGACATATCATAGACCAATAGAAAGGGAATTAGATGTTTTTTTTAGACCTAGCCAGTAGGTGGTTGGCGGGTGCTCTGGTGTGGTTTGCTCCTTCTTTCCTATCAAACATCTATCGTCCATATCTCCCCTTCTTCCTTTTTTATGTATGTTACTCTCTTGTAACACCTTTAATCATCTGGCGCTCATATGACCTTTTGCTGTTGCGAGCGCCGTAAACCCTCTACTAAAACAAGCAAGACCTAGCCAATAGATTTCAAAATTAAATTGTTCAGCTTTCTTGAGGTGGAACATATTTTCGTGTTACAAAAAAAAAGAAAAAGAATGCAGAAACACAAATCGGACTGCCTCAACAATCACAAAGAAGAAATAAATATGTTTGAGAATTTAGAGTTTTCATTCATTGGATGAGAAAGTACATTCAATTCTGCATACAATGTGTAAAGACACCTCATTCTGTTGAAACATAAAGAAATGAGGGCTGTTTTTGTGCATTCTACAAATTCTCGGTTATAGCCTTTGAAACTGGAAATTTCAGAGTGAGAATTGTATAATAAAAACAACAGTTTTAATACCTATTTCATATTTTTTAAACGTGTATTTTGTCATTTTTATTTGATAAAAATACCTAACAAAATCTTTCTTTTTAAAAGTAAGTGTATCTTACTGGCGAAATACCACATCCCCAGCCATCGTATATAATATATATATATATATATATATATATATATATATATATATATATATATATATATATATATATATATATATATATATTAACGATAAAGTACTGCATGAGTTGCTGGGAGTTAATAATGATAATAATAATAGTTATAATAATAATAATAATAATAATAATAATAATAATAATAATAATAATAATAACAATAATGATAATAACATTAATAATAACAATACTAATAGCAATAATTGTCCTTAATATAGCGTACCGTATATCCACGTTATACAGCATTTTCTATGAGCTTTAAAACTGGTACTGTCTCATAATATTCGCAAAACGACGAAACAAATTAGTTGTCAGATTCAAGTTTTCTAAACATTTCATGTGGGTGGTTGACGGGCGCTCTGGTGTGGTTTGCTTCTTCTTTCCTATGAACAATCTATCGTCCTTATCTTCCCTCCTTCTTTTTTATGTTTGCTACTCTTTCGTAACTCCTCTAATCTTCTGGCGCTCATATGACCTTATGCAGTTGCAAGCGCCGTAAAACCTCTACTAAAACTAAATTCATATTTTTAATATTATGTTACGTCTTCTTATCGGAAATCTTATAATCTAAGAGTGTGTATAATAAGTTTGTTCTCCTTCGTTTGTTTGTTTAGTATAGGGTTTTACGGCGCTCGCAACTGCATAAGGTCATATGAGCGCGCGGGACACACCTAATACTTTTTCGTTGGTAGGAAATTTTGAATTTTGCCCGGGTGGCGGCCGAAGCCTACTCTTATCGATTTTAGACCACCAAGTTGTTCTCCTTCATTTACCTTATATGTAATTTTTTTTTAAAGAGAAGGCACACTTTATGAAAGCTCGGTAGGTTAGATGTTAAACTGATGTACATGCTACACTCGTTTAAGTCTCAGTAATGCACTTTTGGATCGTTTTCGAGTTCCTTTAACCCTTTTTTCTCTCGGTTTTGATCTAGTCAGATAATAGGGCGGGGCCGGAAGCGTGCTTCCTAAATGATCAAAATTTTGTCGAAAGTGGTCGTGACGTCACCTACATTTGAAGAAAATAGACAGTTTGCTTCATTTTTTTGGTAAGTGTTTTTATAGCGTTGCAACTGATCAAGGCCATTTAAGCGCGCGGGACACATTAATCATTTTCAGTTTGGAGGAAAGTAGTTTTGAATTTTACCCGGATGGCGGACGAAGTTTACTCTTATCGATTTCAGTACCACGAGGGGATCTTTAACGTATTTGTTTGTCCTTATCCAAGAAGGCTAGGTGTTAGATCTTACCTACCCTGAGATCAAAGGTGTGGCTGAAAGACTGCAGTAAGAAGGAGTCAAGAAGTAGCAGTAAAAAGGCTGGAGGAAGAGTCAGGAGCCCAGAGGAGGGGGCAAAGGAGGTGAGGGGGGGGGGGGGAGTGTGGGAGATACGTTAATTTGGGTGAAACAATGCTAGCAAATAAGTTACAGTGTAACACCTTCTGTTCCTTCGGTAGAGTTTTTAGTTCTAGTAAGAGTTCTACAGCACTTGCAACCCAATTAGATCTAAGTTATAATGTAAAGGCCGAAGATTAGAAATGTTAAAAGAGAGTAACAAAAGACATACAAAGAAGGAGGGGAGATAAGGACGATAGATGTTTGATAGGAAAGAAGGTGCGAACCACACCAGAGCACACCCACTCAGTTCAGTATACACAGCGTCTAGGCCGAGCAGAACTTGAAGCGAAAACGTTACACCTGTTGCCAACCTTTCTTTGTCTAAGAATCGAAAGTAATTACAGCCGTTTATTCGGTTAGCAAAAATTTTTCTTTTTTTAACCCCCAAAAATTGAAATTGATAATAATAATAAAAATGATGATAATAATAATAATAAAGACAAAGAAAAAAAAGAAGCTCTTCGGGTGGTTGGCGGGTGCTCTGGTGTGCTTTGCTTCTTCTTTCCTATCAACCATCTATCGTCCTTATCTCCCCTTCTTCATTTTTGTGTTTGTTACTCTCTTGTAACACCTCTAATCTTTAGGCGCTCATATGACCTTGTGCAGTTGCGAGCGTCGTAAAACCTCTACTAAAACTAAAAAAAGAAGCTTTTCTTGTATTTTTCTTCAGCAGCCTTACTCTTTAGCAAGCAGAAGGTGTGAGCTCGACTGCCGTGTGGGAAATTTAAACAAACCGTTGTTGTTTTTTACACCCCCATCGTCACAATTTAGATCATGTAGAAGGCATGCCATGTCAGGACCGACCCGGACTGAATTTAAATTTCCGATTTTCAGTGGAAATGCTTGACCCGGAAGTCAACATTATATTATGACCTTTATTTTAACATGTATGGATATGTGGATTGGAATAGAATCTAAGCTAAAAGTGAAGATCGGTTCTCGAGCCGCCGGGGGCGGCTTAGCGTACTGACGGCCCTTTAGCCGCCCCCCCCCCCCACGGCTCGGCGTAGCGAATGAGTTAACAACACAGCATGAAAGACCAAAGAGGGGGCACATGGGAGGTAGCTGCTGACTTAAAGGGCTCCGAGAGATGCTTCCCCATCCCAATAACAAAAAAGCCAGACTTGGTGTTATGGGAGGAAAAAGAGAATGAGGTGCACCTGGTGGAGCTCACTGGTGTCTCACGAAGACAACATCAATGCTGCACATGAGCGGAAAGAAAAGCGATACGAGGCGCTTGTCGAAAAATGTGAGGAGGCAGGTTGGAAAGCAACTCACCTTCCATTTGAGGTTGGCTGCAGAGGTTTCGTAGCCACTAGCATTCGAAAGTAGATGAGAGTGGCAGGACTTACTGCAAAGAAAAGTAACTGAATCATAAATTCCCTTCAGGAGACAGCAGAGAAAGCGAGTCACTGGAGCTGGTTGAAGAGAGAGAGAGAGAGAGAGGACGCAGGCTGGAATGAATACTAAGAGTTTACAGCAGAGGAAAACAGTCAGACTAGCAAAGTAGACCTCACATCGGTGAGGGGGCTCGGTGCGTCAGAAAAGCTGTAGAGAGAAAGAGCCCGAAACAGCGACGCATTCTCTCCTGATGATCTCGATGCTAGAGTCAGGGATAAGGAGCGTTCGGCGGTGAGCAGTGTGCATAAGGCTGTTTTAGACTACCTGCCAAACCGGCGGAAAATACTGTTATCTTCGATGTCAATATTTTGACGAGCGCCTGATTTCACCACGATATCTCACAATTAAAAAAAAACCCTCCCATAATGACTGGCGTTTGTCATGTAGCGGTATAGTGCTTCTGTGTCGCACGTAGGAGGCCCCAGTTCGCTCCCCTAGTGGGGAGAAAAATTCTATCGAGTATCTCAGCCTTCCTTCAGGGATTTCTATCCCTCTCAGCCCGGGTTAGCCCTGAGAAGCAAGGGCAAGAAGCCCGCCTCCCGAATGGTCTAATTTGGTTCGATGGAGGCGTAAAACCAGCTACAATGTACATTAATTCTAAAAGAATACAAAAACCGCTTTAATCTCTGTATGACACCAAAATAACTGAAAAAAAAACCCACACACCGAAACTCGGCGGCACTGGCTCTCTGCAAGTCGAAGCTACACGATATTTCCCTTTGATGTAGTTGTCCACAGAGTCAGTGCTGACCTCGCGGTGACCCCTCTGTGTTCTCTGTCTCCACTCGGTGAGAGACACACGGACTCGGGGACTGCTCACACACAACAAAAAGAAGATGGCGGTCGATGTGAGGGCTCCTCCGATCATGAGAGTAAAGTACGACCCTGTAAAATAGACAATAATCATTGAAACACCTAATGCAAAGTACGAACCTGTAACATAGACAATAATCAGTGAAACACCTAATGCAAAGTACGACCATGTAAAATAGACAATAATCATTGAAACACCCATTACAAAGTACGACCCTGTAAAATAGACAATAATTAGTGAAACACCGAAAACATAGTATGACCCAGCGAAAATACAATATGGGAATATCCTATACAAAGTATGACTCGGCTAAATGACAATATGTAAATATCCAATACAAAGTATGACCCAGCAAAATGACAATATGAAAATATCCGACACGAAGTATGACACTGTAAAACAGACAATTATAGAAACATCCAATACAAAGTATAACCCTATAAAATGACGACATAAGAACATGCATTACAAAGTATGGCCCTGCCAAAAGGCTACATGAGACCATTCAATACAAAGCGCAAAGATTGGCCCCGCAAAAAGGCTACATGAAAGCATTCAATACAAAGCGCAAAGACTGGCCCCGCGAAAAGGCTACATGAAAGCATTCAATACAAAGCGCAAAGACTGGCCCAGCGAAAAGGCTAAATGAAAGGTTACATGAGATCATTCAATACAAAGCGCAAAGATTGGCCCCGCGAAAAAGTTACATAAGATCATTCAATACAAAGTGCAAAGATTGGCCCCGCGAAAAGGTTACATGAGATCGTTCGATACAAAGCGCAAAGATTGTCCCCGCGAAAAGGCTACATGAAAGCATTCACTCCACAACACTACCCTTTGAAACGAACATTTTAAAACTTTATAATTGCAAAATATTTACCCTGCGAAATGATAATTTTAAAACATTATTAATGCAAAATATGATCCTGCGAAAAAAAAAAAAAATCAAAGCAAAATGTGTCACGACGCGGTAGAATCAGGTGTTCGTCAGTTTTTGGACATGTGGAGTTATTAGCATACATTTAAAGGCTGTTCATTTGTACTGTTTTCAGTGAATAAAATACTCATATTATGTCAAGAATAGAAGTTGAGATATGTGTGATAGAGGGAGGTGGGGTTGCCTGGTTTCAGAGGAAAAATTAGCCAGAAAATGGCGGCCAAATTTGGCGACTTCCAAAGTTTGAGAGTTCTTAGAAATCGCAAATTTACATTTTTATGTCTTGAATCAACATTTCTTTCAGTAAAATTCACAGAGAAATGTGCTTTCAAATGGACCTTAAAGATGTTGAGTCAAAAAACAAAAATTCGATAAAAATTGCCAAACGGACAGAGAAATGTCCGTTTCTTCGATTTCATTATTTTGACGAGCGTCTGATTTTACAACGATGCCTCACAAACCTTACACTACGAAATCACAATTTTAAAACATTATCACTGCAAAATATTACCCTCTGAAATGACAAGAAAGAAACACCACGAATACACAGCACTACCCTGTGTAAGATTATAATATTTAATTACGCAATGTCACTACAAAATTCTTACGCTACGAAAAGACAGTATTAAACATTAACAAAAAACCAAAATTAATGTCTGAAAAGACGACGTAAGAACGTACTCAGTTTTCATTCATTCATTCTTTGAAGAACCGTGAAAAGCTAGGGTGAAAACACCTTCAACAATATTAACAGCAGCAACAACAACGCCACCATCCCCACCTCCTTCACCAACAACTACAAAAAAACACCCCCAAACAGCAGCAACAACAGCAACAACAACAACGACATTAATGAAAAAAGTCTAAATAATCTTGGATTTAAGTACAATGGAACATGCTCTGAAGACCACTTGTCAAAGAAAATCACCTGAACCTAAGACCACTTGTCAAAGAAAATCACCTTAACCAATGACCATTTGTCAAAGAAAATCACCTGAACCAATGACCACTTGTCAAAGAAATGACCACTTGTCAAAGAAAATCACCTGAACCAATGACCACTTGTCAAAGAAATTGCCACTTGTCAAAGAAAAATCACCTGAACCAAAGACCACTTGTCAAAGAAAATCACCTGAACCAAAGACCACTTGTCAAAGAAATGACCACTTGTCAAAAAAAAATCACCTGAACCAAAGACCACTTGTCAAAGAAAATCACCTGAACCAATGACCACTTGTCAAAGAAAATCACCTGAAGCAAAGACCACTTGTCAAAGAAAATCACCTGAACCAATGACCACATGTCAAAGAAAATCACCTGAACCAATGACCACTTGTCAAAGAAATGACCACTTGTCAAAGAAAATCACCTGAACCAAAGACAACTCCACACTCCCCTCCTTTCACCTCCCCTCCGCTTTGTTTTTAATTTATCATACAAACATTGCCTAAGAGGACCACATGTCAAACATTCAATTGTAGGTGTTTTTTAAGCCCCCATCGACACAATTGAGGTAATTTAGGAGGCAGGCTTCCTACTGTACCTGTCAAAACCCCCCCCGGCTCCTCCGGGCTGAGAGGGATAAATAAACATCAGCACAGAAAGACCGAACTATAATAATATGACGCGCTCGTCCAAAATTATTCTTTCTCGGCGTTCGAACCTGGTTCCCCAGCGTGCAACAGCGAAGAGCGTAAACGCTACACCATAGACGCCGATATGGTCGTTTTGGAGAGATTTGATTGTACGTGAAGAATAGGAACGGAGCATGAAAATCTACTCACTGCGCATTTTGCAAGGTCCTCGTTAAACCCATCCGAACAAAGCACAGCGTATGCGTGTGCATGTGAGTGTATAGAAATAATGTAAATTTCTGTCGTTCTTATCGCTCACACACTTACACAAACACACACACACACACACACACACACACACACACACACACACACACACACACTTAACCCTTTGGTCCCTGGCTCCTGTAGCGCACAACTGTTGGATTTTCAGTATAGTAAGAATTTTTCTTATTCTGAAATTTACTTAGGTCGTATACGCGTAAGTGCGAAGGGCAGAAGAAATCTATACCGAAAAGAATGAGGGGACGGGTGAGGGGGATGGGAGAGGGGAAGGACGATCGAGGTTTGAAGCGAAAGAAAGAGCATTCAACGCCAGAGCACCCCCCACCCTCCAAACCGCCTCCCACCATGACTCTGCACATGAATTCGAATAGGAAAATCATCATGATATATGTCACGAGGCGGTGGAATCGGGCTGTCGTCATGTTTTGGGCAAACTGAGTTTTTGGTATAATTTTAAAGCTTGTTTATTTGTCATGCATCTGAGGAAACAAATATAAATTTATCTTGAATAGAAGTAGGGATATTTGCGATGGAAGAAGTAGGAGGGGGGGGGGGGGGGGGGGGGGGGAGTGTTGCCTGGTGTCAGAAGCAAACTTATCGAGAAAACTGGCCTCCGAATTTATATGACTTCCAAAGCTGTAGTGTCCTTAGAAACTGCAAATTTACATTTTGTCCCTTAGGTCTACGTTTTTTCCGTCACATGTAATCAGAACCTAATTTATTTTTAAATGAACACAAAACAAAAGAAGGTCATTATATAACGCGCTTTTCGTATTGAGTTGAGTGTTTTTCTTCTTTTTAAAAAAAAGTGTTTTTTTAAAGTAAGTGTTTTAATCAGATGGTGGCAATATCATAGAAATGGGCAAGGGACCCCCCAAAAAATAATTTTAAAATGTGTTTTTATGTATGCATTGATAGAATTTAAATCAATTAGAAAGCGAGCTTATTCATTCCTATTTGAGCCAGCCGGGCCTGTCTGTGGTTGATAAAACATAAAAGAGCTGACCACACCAAATGACTCGCTTGCCACCCACCGTCGATTTGTGGAAGGAAAAAGATCATTCATTGCCTTTCTCACCCTGGGTCAGGATATAGGCCACGAACTCTCTCCACCTTTCCCTATCCTGGGCTTGTCGCTTGATGTCACTCCACATCTTCCCACTTTTCTGTACATCCATTTCCGTGACTCTTCTCCAGGTTCCACGAGGTCTTCCCCTTGATCTTTTACCCTGAGGGTTCCAATCTAACACTTTTCTTGTTATGCAGCTGCTTGACTTCCTGAGAGTGTGAAGGAAAAAGATAGCGTACAGTTCCGGGAGAGGCGTGAGCGAACGCACCGTGTCCGGATAGATATCTAGGGTTAAACTGGCCAAATCAACATCGGGAAATTCGATCGTTCCCTTTAAGATAGCAGATCTATGTGGCTTACGTTTAGCAGGCTGGCCGACTGCTGCAACAGCTGACGGTTATCGGTGTTCTTTTATTTGTTTCTTTTTTGTTTTCTTTCTTTCAGATTGAGTGAGCAAAGAAACTCATTGCGTTGAAACTAAATAGTATTTTCTTTGTTAATTTTTGTTTCTTTTGAGTAGGAGTAAGCATAGAAACACATTGCGATAAAATAAAATTTTATTTTCTGTTTTTAATTTTTTTTTCTTTTAAGATGGAGTAAGCGCAGAAACGTTTCATTTTTTTTTTCACGTGCGTCTCCGATAAGATCGAGCCAGATGGGTTGAGAGCTAGGAAATCTCAGTGTCTGAGCCTAGGTTGAGAGCCTTGAAAACTCCACAAAACGACGCGGGTGTAAGAATGCCGGTGTTGGTGTGTCTGTTTGTACGTGTGTGTGTGTGTATGTGTGTGTGTGTGTGTGTGTGTGTGTCTGTCTGTTTGTACGTGTGTGTGTATGTGTGTTAAAAGATACTGATTGCCTGATCTAAGTGATCTAGATGGAACATAAAAATGTGTGTGTATGCGCGTGTAGGTGTATGTGTGTATGTGTGTGTGTGTGGGGGGTGGGGGTGTTGGTATGTTTGTGCGTGAGTGCGTGTGTGTGTGTGTGTGTGTGTGTGTGTGTGCGCGCACGTGTGTGTATGTGTGTGTTTGTGTGTACACGAATGTATACATGTGTATGTATGTGTGTATGTGTTTGTGTATGTATGTGTGTGTGTGTGTGTGTGTGTGTGTGTGTGTGTGTGTGTGTGTGTGTGTATGTGTTCTGCAATTTCGCAAGCAAATTTGCATTTACTAGATTCTAAATTTCAGCATAGTCATTTATCTGAGAATCTGGAA